TGCCAGCTGCAGCAAACCTCCCAAACCCCTCTACTACGAGCAGCTATTTAGGTTCGTCTTAGCTGCACTGTGGGGCCCCCAGGGGCCTCTGGGGCCCCGGGGGGCCCCCAAAGGGGCCCCGGGGGGCCCCCAAAGGGGCCCGGAAGGGCCCCCAAAGGGGCCCCAGGGGGCCCCCAAAGGGGCGCCTGGGGGCCCCCAAAGGGCCTCTAAGGGACATTAGGGACCCTTTGCTGCGAGCTGTTTAGGGTTTAGGACTTGAGGGTTTAGGGTTTAGGACTTGAAGGTTTAGGGTTTAGGGTTTAGGGTTTGTGTGTTGGCTGCTGGGGTGTACGTCCACTTCACTTGTAGCACTTTCTGGGGGTCCATTTCTTTCTTTTTTTTAGCAGTTTTATTATTTCAATTTATTTATTTATTTATTTGTTATTTATTTATTTATTTTTTATTTATTAATTTATTATTATTTATTTATTTATTACTTATTTATTTGTTTTCTTCTGCAGGTCGCACCAGAAACTGCTTGTAGACACCGCAACTACGGAGCTGGTCTTTTTGACGGACTTTTTTTTAAACGCAGGTCTCTATTTATTTTTATTTTTTATTTATTTTGTTTTATTTGATTTAGTTTATTTTATTTATTTGTTTTATTATTTATTTATTTACTTATTTATTTTATTTTATTTGTTTTATTATTTATTTCTTTGTTTTATTTAATTTGTTTATTTGTTTATTTATTTTATTTTGTTGTTTCATTTGTTTTATCATTTTATTCGATTTGTTTTATTTTTCAATTTATTTGTTTATTTATTTTAATTTGCTTTATTTGTTTATTTATTTGTTTATTTGTCCATTTGTTTATTTTATTTGTCTATTTATTTTATTTGATTTTATTTTATTTTCTTGCTTTAATTGATTATTTCATTCAATCAATCACTTATTTATGTTTATTTGTTTATTAATTTTTTGTTTCATTTTATTTTATTGGAGTTCGCTTTTTCCATTTGCTGGACTTGCTTTAGTGTGCCCGAAGATGGAGCTGCTGCTGCCGCTGCTGCTGCTGCTGCTGCTGCTGCTGTTTGTACCCCTCTTTCTTCTGCTGCTGCTGCTGCTGCTGCGTGCGCTGTTTACCGCCCCACCCGTTCTGCAGCTGCTGCTGCTGCTGCCGTCCTGCTGCTGCTGCTGCTGCCGCCACCACACCCCCGCCGCCGCCGCCGCTGCTGCTGCTGCTGCTGCTGCTGCTGCTGCTGCTGCTGCTGCTGCAGGGCTGGACATCCACTACCAGACTTTGTTCAACGAAGTGTTTAACAAAACCACAAACTTCTTTCTTTCTGTTTTGCGAGACTTCGCGCAAACCACCACCGACTCCGTAGCCCTCATGCTCATGCTCAGAATCAACCAGTACAACAGGTCCTGCTGCTGCTGCTGCTGCTGCTGCTGCTGCTGCCGCTGCTGCTGAGTCGGCCGCTGCTGCTGTTGCTGCTGCCGCTGCTGAGTCAGCCGCTGCTGCTGTTGCTGCTTCCGCTGCTGAGTCAGCCGCTGCTGCTGTTGCTACTGCTGCTGGGGAATCAACCGCTGCTGCGATTGCTGTTGCTGCTGCTGGATCAGCCGTTGGTGCTGCTGCTGCTGCTGAATCAGCTGCTGCTGCTGCTGCTGCCGAAGCAGCCGTTGCTGCTGCTGCTGTTGCAGAACCAATCAGTATAAAAGGTGCTACTGCTGCTGCGGCTGTTGGTGGAGGCAGAGTTGCCCCTGCAGCACTGCCGCTGCTGCTGTGCTGCAGCAGTGCTGCTGCTGCTGCAGTGCTGCTGCTGCTGCTGCTGCTGCTGCGCTTTTTTTCCTGCGATTTCTATTATCTCTTCCTGCTTACCAATTTTCTCTCTTTTTCTTTCTCTTTTCTTGTTGCTCTATTATCTTTGCTTGTGTTATTTATTTGACGTTATTTATTTATTTCATTTATTTCAATTGATTAATTTATTTCTATTTATTTATTCTATTTATTTTATTTATCTATTTTATTTACAGGCAGCTGATGCGCCGCCGCAAAGTGCCCTGTCTCTTTTCCTACATGGACCAGCTGGACGTAAGAACTGTCTCCTTTTTTATTTTTTATTCTCTATTTTTTGTTTTTGCTTTCTTTTTTCGTTCTTTTTTGTCTTCTTTTTTATTTCTTTTTGGACTCTTTTTTGCTTCTTTTTTGTCTCCTTTTTGTTTTCTTTTTGTCCCCCTTTTTGTCCTTTTTTGTATTTCTTTTTTTCTCTTTTTTGCCTTTCTTTTTCCCCTTTTTGTCCCTTTTTAATCTCCTTTTTTTCTTTTTTATTTTTCTCCTTTTGTCTCTTTTTTCTCTCCGTTTTTTGCAGCAGCTCAAACACCCCGCAGCTCACCGCCTCTAGGGTTTAGGGTTTAGGGTTTAGGGTTTCAGCTCTAATGCGTAGGGTTTAGGGTTTAGGGTTTAGGGTTTAGGGTTTGGCTGCTGCATTAGGTTATTTTCTATCAACGCTTAAATGAACTCATTCAAGAAAGTCTTGATGTTATAAAAGCTGCCACCCCCCAGGGGCCCCGGGGGCCCCGGGGGGGCCCC